GTAGAAGCATTCCACGACCGCTATGCATGCCAAAGTGCCAGTGTTGGGACAAAACGCGGGGAGAAGTACTGATTAATTTCATGATCAGGTGGCACGATCACTGCAATCCAGGAAAACGTTGCCCACGCCGGACTCGCGAGACCGCCCATCTGCAACAAAATGGAAATTAAGAAAAACAAATGAAATGACCTCGCACTTGCGCGTAGAACATCAGACTTTTAACAGATTTGTTGCGGCCTTGTTGCGGCGTTGTAAAGCGCCAAAAAACGCGTGAAAACGCCCGAGAAGCCGACCGTGGTACTACTGATCGAAGTGGATTTTGAACATCATTTGATCTTCTTTTCGGTGATTCCCGAAATGCCACAGTGCAGGCGCAAATATACCCTGAAGAGGTTCATAAATATTAGACAAGACAGACCGCCGCTTCGCTCCGGTATTGCGGAGCGCAAGACAGATTGAGAAGAAAAGTTTCAGCTCGTGCGGCCGTCCAACCGAGGAGCAGACCCCATGATAGGATGATTTGGCCACGATGACGGAGCTTTATTCATTCAGCATAAGAAACATACATCAGGGATGTGCAGGCATGAGATGTGGGTGCCCGCCACGGGCCATCCGGTCCTAGTCCTTTGGATAGTATCCTGAATTCACGCAAGCACTTCTGAGGAAAAAGATGACAGTGCACGAACATGACCTGGACCCGAATCGAACGGGTGTCTCCCACCGTAGATAGCATTGGGGGGGGGGGGGCGGATTTATCGTACCTGGGTGCCCACCACGGTCTATCAGGTCCTATCCCTATGTGCGGTAACCTGAACTCATTCAATGGTTCCCGGCAGAGACATCGGAAAATGTGAAGTCCTCGCGCATGATCCCGAATCGAAAGGGAGTGCCACGGGAAATATGACACACATTATGATGTGTGGGTGCCCGCCACGGGCCATCCGGTCTTGTTCATCGGTGTGGTATCCTGAATTCATCCAACAGCCTCCGGCAGCGAGAAAAAGAAAAAAGATGACAAATAACAAGAGATGACCTGATGCCGAATGGAAGGGGTGTCCCACAGAACATACGGGACGCACTATGATGTGTGGGTGCCCGCCACGGGCTAATAGGTCGGTGTGGTACCCTCATTTCATGCCAGGGTTTTCAACCCAGAAAATGAACGGGCACCACATTTCATTTGTCTAAGACGGCGGGATACATAATATATATTCCAGGACGGTGAATGAACACGGGACCAAAAAATAGGTGAACGTGGAAAGGTACCGTAGGGAAAAAGGGAACCGCTGAACTCGCGAATGACCTGATCCCGAATCGAACGGGTTGCCCACGGTACAAATCCAGAAAGATATCCTGCATGGGTGGCCACGGGCTATCAGGCCTCAATCCTCTGTGTGGTATCCTCAATACACGCAACGGTTGTCAGCCCATGAGAATGAGCACAGCACCAAAATTCATCCGATAACTTTGTGGCCTAAGAGGAGAAGATGTACATATACTCATTCTGGGCGGTGGGTGAACACCGCATGAGGAGCAGAGAAACATAGGGGTGGGGAGAAAGGTACTGTGGGGAGAAAAAAGAAGCCAGGAAAGGAAAAAGAGCTTGGTGCTTTGGTACGAATGACCTGATCCCGAATCGAACGGGTAACTCACATTACACACTTGAGCAAAGGAACCATGTGGTGTGGGTGCCCTCCACGGGCCATCAGGTCTTATTCCTGTGTACGATATCCTAAAGTCATGCCATGGATATTGGGTGGTTGTGGGCAATTCGAACAAATACTCAAGGCTCATGTCATAATTCTTGGAATGTGTAACCTTCAGGACAGGATCTTCATTCAGCTGGTCGGCTCATCTGATGGATCCTTTGGTCGCTTCAACCACCAGACACAAGGACCCCCTAAAAAGACGGAAAATGGCAGAGAAAAAGTGTCAGAATGAACGACGTGATCCCGAGTCGAACGGGTCGCCCACGACTATGTATGTCTACTCCAGGACTGGAATGTAGGGTGGGTGCCCGCCACGGGCTACCAGGTCTTGTTTCTGTGTAGTATCCTGAATTTATGGCACAATTTTCCCGGGATTCTTACAGAGGGGCGAGGATACTCATTCCTCTGCATGGTATCCTGGATGCATGCAAAATTTTCAAGCGAGGAGCGGAGAAAAAGGACAGCCAAAGACAAGCTATCACAAGGAAGATAACGAGAATATCTATGCTAGAACAGTGAAAAGGAACGGAGAAAATATTCACAATAACTTTTACATGTCGGTGGATTGAAAACACACAATTGATTCAAAAGTTCTTCGAATAACTTCATTATGTCTTGGATTTCTTTCAGATTCCCTTGAATATGAATATGAGAAAGATATTTTAAACAATACAAAGGTCTTTAAGTATTGAAGTTATTGTAAATATTTTCCGTTTCTTTTGAATGTTGTGGCGTGGATTTTCTGGTTATCCTCCTTGTGTATGACCTGATCCTGAATCAAACGGGCTTCCCACAAAACCCACAGAACAATAAATCCATGCAACGATTTCTGGGAGTGAGAGGGAAAAAAGGAGATTGTTCCATGCCAATGGCTTGATCCCGAATCGAGCGGGTTGCCAACAAAGAATGCGGCAGACATTTCCAGAGGCCCGGGGGTGCCCGCCACGGGCTATCAGGTCTTATTCATCTGTATGGTATCCTGAATTGAAACAAGATTTTCAGGCAAGGAGGGGAGAAAAAGCACGCACATGACCAGACCCCGAATCGAACGGGTGTTCCACAAGACACGCAACGCGGCTCACAGCTCACACGGAATACAGTGTGGGTGCCCACCACGGGCCATCGGGTCTTGATCCTGTGTGTAGTATCCTGAATTTGTGGCAGAGGTCAGAGAGCGAAAGGTGTCGGGCACGAAGAATGTCCTGAATCCTGATCGCTACACCCCGAGAGAAAACGAGGCCGGATGAATGAGTCCCAGATCCCGAATCGAACGGGCGTCACTGTACAAATGCGGATCCGAAGCGGGTGCCGGGCCATCCGTATTTTTACTTGATGCAAGGGTTTTCGACGCATGCGAATAAATAGATGAACGGAGCACCACAATTCTCGGGTCTCCTTTCCTTCCTCTGCGTGGGTCTCCTCCATTCACGACAGAGTTTTCATGTGAGCGTACCCGGGGCGTTATATATTGTTGCTTTCGGCCATCACGGAGCATCCCGGCGACCGCGGCACATCACGTGGACATCGCTCCTTGCTTACCCACGTCCATGTCGCTGCGCGCGGCGGGCCCCTTCTATCGTCCGTGCCTCCTTCTCTTCTCTGTGACTCCGTTGGACTGACGTCCATGCAGGTCTCGCCTACGTCTTCGCGCTCATCCAGGTCGCCGCGGGGCTGAGCACGATCTTCGTGTACGAGGTCGACGATGCGCGTGAGACACCTCCCTTCCTTTTTGTCCTCTGGCTAACTAAACGATGCGGCAGGCGACTCGCAGTTCATCGCGGTCCTCTACGCGCTCACGACGTTCTACATGGTCTACATGCTGTCCGTCCCTCTCGTGTGGTGATGGATGATAGACGCTGAAGGATGACAGGATCCCGCAAACGACGGCGCGCGACACGGACGCCGTCTCGCGGCTCAATAAGCAGTTCGTCATCGTTAACTTCCTCGTCTTCTGCTGGGTCCTCTCCGGTGCGCCACCCATCTCTCGCGTTATCATGACAGTGCGCTTACGATATTGCGGGGGCAGTCGGCATGGTCCCGCTCACCGTCCACTCGCGCATCACAAACACGCTCGTGCCCTGCGCCGCCGCGCGCTTCCTCACGCCCAAGTGCATCACCCTCGGGCTCGATATGGTGCTGCCGTTTGCGCTTATCGGCACGCGTGCGTCCGTCGTCTCATCTTCTCGTACCCTGCCACTCATTCGCTTCCCTTGACCTATTCGCATTCCTTTTGATCCGCGGCGTACACGCAGTCGGGACGATCTCGTACCTGATCTACCACGACGCGCAGACGGTGCAGGCGGCACGGTGCGTCCCCACCCCCGCCCCGCAGCAGGAACAGCCCCAGCCCCAACCCCACCCCGAGGCCCCGGACTCGGCCCCCACCCCATTCAAACTGCGCCCCGCGCGGGCGGAGCCGATGCGGAGCCAGTCATCGAGCGCCGCCGCGGTCTGAGTTCGGCCCGCGGTTCGAGGTCCACAACGCATCCCTCTGATTTACCCTGGATACAATACACAATCTACAGCTCTTCATCCTTTCCTCGGAATCTACTTATATCACATCCTCGCTCGATCGGACGTCGTGTACCCTCATCTCGCCTCGCCCCGTGTTGTTTTCGCTGCGCATATTTGTCTGTCTGTATCGCCAGTCGCATCTCCTTTCCTCTCTGAATCGTCTCGTCTCGTCTCGTCTCTTTTCCTCTAGTCTGATCTTAACTTACCTACCGAACATGTCAGGACGGACTATTTCGATGCAATGGACTATCTCTATCTCTATCTCTATCCTCTACCCGCCGAGATTCTCTCCGCGTTCGTGCGTTCGTTCCGTTCCGCGATATGATTCTCGGTCCTCTTAGCCTCAGCCGGGGCCGCGGCGTCAAGTCTCCCCATTCTCGTTCGCGTTCGCGTTCTCCGTTCCGATCATCGAAGCATCTTTAATTCCCCTGGACCGTTGAGTTTGTTTCCGGTTTATTCAGGTGAGAAAGGGGGCAGGGAAGTCTTCGTGGAGTAGGAACTCGCTCCCGTCCCATAACCTTGTGAGCATTTACGGGGAGCGCCGGTGGTTCGAATCCACCCGAAGACATAGATGTGCGGGGCGTTGTTTTTCCCCCCCCGTCGAGCTTTTCTGATTTGGTTGAGGCAGGATAAGCGCGTGGCACGGAAGTCTTAAGAACCCGCCCTTGTGTAATCGGAATCCAACTCTGTTGACACATTCAGTGAAATTCCGAATCATCTTCGGTCGGGGCGCTGACTTCCCTGCCGGTTTATTCAGATGAGGAAGGGAGGAAGGGAGTCTTCGTGGGGTAGGAACTCGCTCCCATCACTTAGTGATTGAATGAACTTATGGGGAGAGCCGGTGGTTCGAATCCACCCGAAGACATTCGTGGAGAGGACGATTCTTTTTCCATCCAGCTTGTTGATTTCCACTCGGGGGGTACAAGACCCATGGCTTAGCAACTCGATCCATTCCGTGTCTACTGACCCAATCCGTGAGATTCTGATCGAATCATCCTCCTCCAGGCCGCTGATTTCCCTGCCTGTTTATTCAGGTGAGAAAGGGGGTAGGGAAGTTTTCGTGGGGTAGGAACTCCCATTTTACATAGAGTGACTTACGGAGAGTCGGTGGTTCGAATCCACCCGAAGACATCTGATGCGAAAATAACAGTCTTTTTGGCTCATCCAGATTTGGTCGAGGCAGGAGGAGAACCGTGGTCGAAAACTCGCTCCATACGTACTCAAAATCTACTGCAACAATCGGTGAGACCCTAATCGAATCATCCTCCTCCAGGCCGCTGATTTCGTTGCTGTTTTATCCACGTTGACGAGTAAGCAAGGGAGTCTTCGTTGAGTAGGGAGTCATTCCCACTTCACATAGACTTATGGAGAGCCGGTGGTTCGAATCCACCCGAAGACATAAAGAGGAATTCACTGTATTTTGTTTTCGTCTAGATTTGCTTGGGTTGAGGCAGGGTAAGAACGGTGGTCGAAAAGTTGCTCGATGTGTACAGTGTACTCTCCCTAGTCAGACCAATCTATCAGAGTTTTTTTAAAAAAAGAGATTTGGAGAAAGGAAAAAAACTTGATATAATTGTGGGTTGAACTTAGGATAAGCACGAGTCACAGGAATGAGACCGGAAGGCCCGTGGCGAACACCGACACACCATGGGAAGATTCAATTTGTTTCCTTATTAATTATTGAGAACCCATGAGGGATCTGTTTCCCTATGCCAAGTATTTCTGCTACCGCATCTAGGCTACTGTTGTGGGATTTCTCTAGTCTGTGTTAGAGAACTTGCCGCAGAACCGTAGGGCATTTATCCCCGACGTCTTAAGACGAGGAAAGAAGTTCTGCCAATGATTTCGACTATTTTTCTACGACTCCTTCTTAATCCGCAAAGGAAAATATTTCTCTTGCCGGCGCTCCGAAATATTTCTGCACGGGCGTCTAATTAAGCACTCGGGACGATGCGGACCGAGATTTGGTCCTGCTTGTCAACGGCCTCCCCTCCTTCTGCTTCGACGACCACATTGAAAATAGGTGGCATGGCCTCGGACCCGATTTCCTGCCACAGCTGTGGCCAAAACCGATTCATGCCATCCTGCCTCCTCCCGACCCCGATTCAGATCGCTGAACTCCACAATATTTTGCGCTCCAATGCTGCGCCAGTCGAGACTATGGCTGCCAGTTTTCGCAGTGCGATTGACGCATGTCGGCCCGAGCTGGCGCGATATGATGCTGAAATCCAACGGCTGCAGACCCTTCTCTCCGGCCTCGTCTCGGATCGCACGAACTTGGTGTCCTATATCGCGGGGTGCCAGAGCGCGTTGGCCCCGATCCGACGCTTGCCCACGGAATTATTGACGAATATCTTCGAGATGGGTTCTCCTCCCATCGAGATTTACGATATTTCCGAGGAAATTACGCCCGCGCAAGAACTGGATCGCCTTGCCCAAAGACATTTGCTCCAATTGTCGCAGGTGGGCTTCGTCTTATTCGTAAGCATGCTTCCAGATCTCATGTTCCTTGCAGGTGTCTTCGGGGTGGCACAGAGTTGTTATGAGTACACCTAGCCTGTGGTCCATGATCACAGTAGATATGACGCTGTGGCATGCATGCCCAGTGTCCTCCGAAACGCTGCTTTCCCTGCTCTCGTCTGCCCTAATTCGAGGCCAGAGTCACCGCTTGAAAATACAGCTTGCTGTTAAATACCGTGTCCACTCAGCTACGCGCCCTGTTCTGGAACTTCTGGCCCGGCATGCGCGGAGGTGGCACGATGTTTTCTTCTGGATCGACTGTGACTCGATGCAATGGTTGTCGGCTGCGAAGGGAAATCTCCACCTCCTGGAGCGACTGAATCTCTCTGTGGATGGACAGCGACAAGAAATCGATTTTTTCGAAGTGGCGCCACGATTAAAAGAGGTCATATTTTTGGGGCGTCCCGCCGTGATACCACACCTTCCGTGGGGCCAGCTCCAGGAATTTCAATATTCCGGCGAGACGAATATGCGCCCCTCCCATGGTTTGGCCCTCATACAGAACCTCGCCCCTGGCACAACCTTTACATTTGCCCCTCATCTACCCGACACATCCGCCGGGACCGCATGGCCGCCGGTTTCGTCCAATATACGACAGTTAATTCTCATATTGCACTCTCATGAATCCTCCATGGAATCAACAAATATTCTTGGGCAGATTCTTGGATCACTCACTTTACCATCACTGGATTTCCTCGAATTCACGTCACCGCTCGAAGAGTCGCCAACGCCCGAAGAGGAGCTGTTGGTCTGGCACCAAGCCAGCTTTCTGGCCCTTGCTTCACGTTCCTCGTTCCACACACACCTCACCACCCTCGACATCTCTATCCTCATAACAGAGGATGAGCTTGTGGAATGTCTCGCCGTGCTACCGCTATTGGAGGACCTGTCCATTGCGGATCCGGCGAACGGCAAACATATTCTGATCACAGACACCCTGCTGCACCGTCTTGCACGGAAGCCCCAGCAGCCACCACTCGTTCCCCATCTCCAACACGTGTGTTTGATCTCCTTTCTCTGGTTCACCGACTCCATCTTCTTGGATTTCGTGACCTCGCGCATCGGTCCGGGGAGATCCAAAGACGACATGCGATTCCGAGCAGTGCTTGAGCAGCGCCCCGCCTGCAACCGCGAGTTAGGCCCTGACACGACTGCAAGGTTATCCGAGTTGGAATCTCAAGGGGAGTTGTGGTTTGATTGGTTTGAGATACGCGCGGACGATGGATCAGGCTAGCTATCGTTGTTCTTGTTTTTACCTTAGTTCCGTCAGCGACACTATTTTCTATGTTTCCACAATCCGATGAATGCCATATATTATAAAGATTCACAGAAACGAATTGATAACGGGATGTCTCATTGTTTGAAGTTCGACGCACCCGACGTGTAGCCTGCATAAAATTATTTTAGTTGGTGCTGATCTTTCGGGTCAGTACTGTTGGGCCTGGGTTCTCCCATATCCTGGGTCAGGACCGCCGTGAGGGGTGCGGCGAACGTGATGATTACGCAACATGTTCTACGTCTGAGTGGGATAACAACAGCGTGGACGGAGAAAGGCACACATATTCCGGCAGTGAATCAATCCTCAGTGAATGCCAATTATAATCACGCCCTACGAGTGTGTTTTGACACTAATCATGGAGAGGATGAGCACGGCGCCGCACCCTTCAGCGACGGTAACGATCTCAAGCACCCAAACCTGACCGCAGTACGTGAGCCGCGCGCATAAAATGAGTTTCATTCAAAGGATAAGGTCTCGTTTATCCCTTGTTTGACGCTGTCCAGTTGCAACGTAGTATCCCGGCGCCGATACCTGTGCCAAAAGGCTGAAGCAGTAAAGGAGGAAGTGTCCGCTGTAGAGATGATCGACTTGACGGTTTCTCAGCACGCGTCCATTTCAATGGACATTAGACCACGCACAAGTGGCGGCGATCATATACCGCTGGCCTGACGGATAAAACAAGCGCGGCCCAATTAAAAAATTGCTTTGGCTCTGGTTGCGAAATTGGGAGGTCAGACACATACCCGCGCCACGCCTTTACAGTGTTACGGCCGATGTTCAACTAAACTGACACTCGGAGAAGACAAGCTAATCAATCGATCTGTATTTACTATTTCTGGCCCAAGGCTCTTTTGCAACCCCAAATTCAACCGATCAAGAGGACTGGAACCTCACAACCGCCTCCAAGAATGGAATCATTAACGGTCAGCAAGAAATCAAACTATGTGTAGAGCATGTGTTATCGTATCTGTAAAGGCAACTTTCTCTCTCCCTTCAGAACGAGGAAAACAAATATCACATTTACAAAAGGACTGTAGATTGCACTTGACTGCTTCGAACATCGAGGGAGGAATTGATGTAATCTTTAAGTCAAGGGGTTCAGAATCTGAGCCAGAGAGAAGGAAAACACCTGATTACCTGCAGGAGATCTAGAAACTTGGGTGAATAGACGTCAACAATGCCGACTCAACACTTACATCCCGTGCTCCTTTTCACCGCCCTGACGGACATTATGCACTTGTATGGCACTGGACTCTGGTCGAGACTAAAAACAGGATACCATTCACAGGAATAAGACCGGATGGCCAGTGGCGGGCACCCACACATCATATACTTGGGGTGTGGGCCGTGGCGTAGCCCGGCAAAACTCGTACTTATTTTTTTATATAGTAGAGTATCAGGGACAGGCTGCAATCTCATCTACATCTTGACGTCCAAGTTACACACTACTCTGATCACCTACAAGCTGTCTGAATTTCAATTGAGAGCCAAATCAACATGGAAAATTCAAACTTATTGGCTTGGTTTTGAACATTCTGGTCATTGAATGTTTCTGCAACAGGCAGCATAGAGAACACCATTATCAATGCTGCCATAGAGTGATATCCTTCTATTTCTTTCCTCTGCCTTCCACTCATGGGCACAACAGTGCAAATTCGTTTGAACTCTTTATTCAATCACAGAGGAAATGAACCTCTCCTGGGCTCATGGTCGCAACCATATCAACCTTCAAGCCCGGATTGAGCAGGTTATGACCCAGGGCATATCTTGCCACATGGCAGATACTTGGTTAACCTTGACAATCTGGAAGGCCAACTTTTACTTTGCCAGATTTGGATGCACAACTGAGTTCTGCTGCAACAAAAAAAAAAAAAGATGCCCAAGGTCATACATACAACTGCTTTTTTGGATGACTCAAAACCAAGGTTGATATAATTGTACGCCCTCACTCGGCCAACTCAATGAAAACATTTAGGCCATCTGTTTGATGCGGTGTGTTTCCTGCACATTCACTTCTCACAGGAACCCATTTTTGTCCGTGGCTATGACCTCCGGACTGAAGAAGG